CACACAGACCACTCTATGTTTAAAAAAAAGTTGCCCCTCATGTCTTTTATAAACCTCTCTCCTCTCACCTTAAAAATATGCGCCCTAGTCTTGAACTTCCTCACCCTAGGGAAAAGATACCGGCCATTTACCTTATCTATACCCATCATAATTTTATAAAACTTTAGAAGATCACCCCTCAGTCTACTACGCTCCAGCGAAAAAACTCCCAACCTATCCAGCCTCTCCTTTTTCCTCAAAACTTCCATTCCCGGCAACATCCTGGTAAATCTCTTCTGAACCCTCTCCACCTTAGTAATATCCTTCCCATAACAGGATGACCAGAACTGAGGTTCAAACCAGTTAAAAGACACATTTTGCAGTAAATAGGATGGAAAGCCACCGCATAAGGCCAAAGTAAGAAGGGTAAAATCATTTAGAACTCAACCTGGATCCTGTGATGTCATTTTCTGAGCTGATACACTCAAAAAGGCCAGCTGGGTCTTTTTGTGTGTGGTTCTCATGCGCACATTCACAAAACGTGGATGGCCAGTCACACCTTAGAGATGAAAGAATGATCAGCAATTCTGACAAGTCCCAATGTGAAGTGAATCTGCCTTTCGTTTCTCCAATGCTGACCTGTATTCCTGGCTTAATTTGAGATTGTACTCTGTTTCTTCCTGTGTTAAGAATACTGACTTTAATTTTGCCTTATGTCCCTCAAGGAAAGCTCCTGCCCTTTTGGGGGAGCTGGAGGCTTTCGGTGGCAGTTTATCACCACACGACAGGAGGCTCTCGCAGTGGGCCAGACATCAGGAATAGTCTTCCAACTGATCCAACCCTCACTTGAGCAGCTTCCACACAAAGCTCGTCTCTGACACCCCAGTGTTAATTCTGAGGGGAATACTAAATATTGAGCCAAAATCCTGGACCTCCCTCCCCAACAGCACCATCTGTGGATGTCCTTACACCACATCGACTGCAGCGGTTAAAAAGGCTATTTGGCCCATCGAGCCTGCACCAGTCAAAAACAACCCCCAACTATTCTAATCCCATTTTCTAACACTTGGCTCATAGCCATTGTATGCCTCGGCGTTGCGATTGCACATTGAAATCCTTCTTCAATGTGATGAGAGTTTCTTCCACTCCCACCCTTTGAGGCAGTGAGTTCCAGATTCCCACCACCCTCTGAGTAAAAAAGGTTTTCCCCACATTCCCTCAAAACATCCTTCCCCTTACCTTCAATTTGTGGCTCCTGGTCAATGATCTCTCCATCAAGGGGTAAAGCACCTGAGCACCCAATCTCTGTTGCTAGGCAACATCCTGGTAAATCTCCTCTGCTCCACACAAGACAACATCCTGGTAAATCTCCTCTGCTCCAGACCAGGCAACATCCTGGTAAATCTCCTCTGTTCCACACCAGGCAACA